CGGTGATTATGGCATGGGTGTATGAACGCGCGAAGCGTCATATGTCCAGAAATACGGAAGCCTATCAATCCTTCCAGCTAGATATAGGACCGGGAGCCTATAGAAAAGCATTCCTGACACATAGGAACGCTGTGACTACAGTGGTGAAAAGAGTAGCTGGGATGTCTTGCACCACAGAACAAGAGAAAAAGAGGTCTTACAAGCTGATCTAGAGCAGAAAATGAGCCTGTGTCTGCATAACAGCTTCTGCAGGAATAGGGAGCAGAAAGTAAAGGTAGATCTACTGCCCTGCTGCAAACAGAGGTTGATGGAGCAAGAAAGCAGGGGCACGGCCCGTAAATCTGTTGATATGCTGCAGAAAGTTCTGGAAGACAGCGAGATGGGTAAACAGGAATAAGAAACTATGGAGTGAATATTGAAGACGAGACTGAATATTGATTATTCAAACTTTTAAACTTTCTGTTTTGATGTTGTTTGGTGAAACTAGTTTTTGAAACTGTTAGAAACTGTTGCAATTGTTGAATTACAATGAAACAATTTAGTTGAAGCTTATTTGTTTTTTTTAGGCCTTAGGTGAGTATTTTTACCTATTTAAACCTGACTGAAGTTTTTAACCTGTGTAGGATACATATTCACTTTGTGGTGATCTTGTAGGGTCTGCGTACGCTCGCTCGAGGAGGATGAGTACCTCATTACTTTTCCTAGCCACAGAGTTTTTTTAATTTTAATATTGACGGCAACAGCATAACTGAATGATTATAATTTTTGAGTGAAATTAAGTTATATTTAACGGATGCGTGGCCGTGCCACGTCCCAAATATTTTTAAATCAGCAAGCGCGAGAACAAATTTTACAGTGGAAGGATGTAAGTAGTGAGAAAAGAAGTTTTATTTTGGACACTCCTCATAGTGCAAATTTTGTGAAAATGTTAGACAGCAGAGCAATGTAGTACAATGCCATTTATGACACGCAGTGATTTGAGGTGACTAGATAAATTTTTAATTTCTAATGCAAATTCTAATTTGATTCTAGAGAACTGGATCACCACTTGAAGATAACTCGGAGTTATGCATTCAATTAGGACATTGAAGGGGACTGTCCGGGGAGTAAGTGCCATTCTGCCGGATTGGCACAGTCGAACCCTCCGACGAGATTGAAACGCATGTTAATGACGTTAAAGAAGATGTCGTGGTCAAAGAGGTCAGAATGTTCTGGAATTCTTAAATTTAAAAATTTCGATTGTCGACAGATTATTTCCCGGAAATGTAGAAAACGGCCACTTTGACTGAAAGAGAGAAAAAAAAACAATAAACGAGAACGTCGAACGAACAAGTTGAAAAAAGCAAGAAAAAAACGGAGTCTCTTATCGTGACGATCACGCACGATAAGACACGTAACTGAAGTAGATAGGAAGAAAGGAGAATTCAGTGGGACAGCCGGAGCGGATCCGTACCCTCCCGTGCCACGAGATTGAGGAGATAAGAGTGTTGTCTCAGGGAGAAATCGGAATTGGAGGCCCGAGCCCAAAGACTCAGTAGACAGTAATGTATACTTTTAAGCCGTTGTGATGCCCTGAATAGCTGAGTTTACTCCAATCTTATTTTGTATTTCGGAGGATGAGTAGCTAGAAAGAGGAAAGGTCAATTTATCCCAATTGATTTAGTATATAATTGTCACTAAAAACATAGTAAATAAGGGCTTCCGAGCCGTGCTTTTAATAGTAATAACGTAGTTTGGGGATCCGAGACCCAGTTATGTGGTTATTTTTGCCTGTAAACGAAAGCTGATCAAAAGTCGTTCGACTGATGGCTTAAAAAGGTAACTTTTACTTAGCCCTAAACAGACCAGAAAACTAACTGGCTAGGTCTAGACGGTGAAAAACGAGTAGAATTAAGGTAACTGACGTAACTATGTAGTATTTGAGCGAAAGTTACAGTCATGACTAGTGGCTAAAAATCGACAAGGACAAAGCAAGAGCATTGTCAAGTTTTTTTTAACACAGTATTTACCATAGAAGCAGCACAAAGCTTTGAGGTAGTGGATAAGTAAGAAAATTAAATTTTTGATGATCTACCTCTCATATGATCTTAAATGAAATTGCCATAATAGACACCACAAAATCAATGGGAACAGATAGTGTTCACCCGCGAACACTACATGAGACTCGAAAAAAAATAGCGGAAGAGCTATACCGTCTAATGCGAAGCTTCTGGGATGCTGGTGAATTCCAGAGGAAGGGAAATGTGCGAACATAACCGCGATTCACTAAAAATGCTAAGCTTTTACAAACCGATAAGTTTCATAGTATTCTGTTGCAAAATTGAGAAAGAATTAAGAAGATACCCACTTGATTACATTAGAGAAAACAAAATTTTACAAGAAAGGCAGTACAGATTGCTACCAGGTCGCTAAACGACCCTTCAGTAACTGAGAGCCCTCAGCGACTGGACGACAGAACTGGAAATTGGAATTGAGGTAGACATTGTTCATATTGATTTCCAAAAAGCCTTTGATAGTTTCCCACACAACAGATTGCTTAACACATTGTCAACAATTGGAATCAGAGAAGAACATCTTATGTGGATCACCAATTTTCTGACTGGAGGAAGCAACGCGTCCTAGTAGATGGAAGGAAGCAATTAGTCCCAAATACTTTTCTAAGCAGACGATGTGAAAACATAAAGATCAATTGCACAGGAAGAGGGAACAAACAAACTGCAGCAAGACCCAAACGGAATATCAAAATTGGCAGAAGGTACCCTAACGAAGTTCAGCATGTCAAAATGTCCCAGCGTAACCTCAACAGGAAGGAAAAAGCTACCAGAACATAATTACATTCCGGATGGTAAGTCATACTTAAGCAACGTAGAAACTGTGAAAAAACTAGGAGTTATTGTATTTGAAATTAACGTTTCGAGAACACATTGCCTCGAAAACGAATCTGATGAACAATATGTTTTCGATTGTAAGTAAAAGTTTTCTGAACCTGAGCAAAGATATTTTGACAACCTTGTACAAGGTATTAGTGATAGCGCACCTAGAGTTCGCAAACCGAGCTTGGAATCCATACCTTTTGAAAGATAAGGTCGTAATCTTACATGTACAACGACGCGCAAAAAACAATATTTCCAGTCATGCTCATATTTAACTATTCAAACAGATTTAGGATGTTGAATTTCCCAATTTTCGAATACAGAAGAAAATGAGGGAGAATTATTACAAATTAGAAAAACTTAAAAGGAATTTGTATTGTAGCAGCAACTGAAGGACTTTTCTCAATTAATCAAAAGGACACGAGAAAAAACCGTACAAAATACTCACCTGAAAGACCAGGACCACTTCAAGAAACTTCTTTTTCTCCGTAGCAGCTATTAATGACTGGATTTCACTATCAAAAGAGATTATATCAACCAACAGGTTAACACATTTAAAGCAGAACTAGATAAACTATGGGCATCTGAAATGTATAACGGTTCTAGGGATTTTAGCAGACCGGTTTTTTAATAGACTCAGAACACTCATAAAATCATTTAGCTAACTTCAAACGCGACATTGGCGTTAAGCGACTCTTTGGTCCGCTGCGCTTCAATTCAGAAGAGTGTTATTGTGCGTGTAATTTTTTTTTGTCGCTAATTTAGATTGTTGTGTTTTTGAAGTTGATAGCTTTGTTGTTGATTCTTGAGATAATTGTCTTAATTGTAGAAGCTGACCGTCTTTTTGAGCCTGTAAATTAATCATCCATCACTTCATTACATTTTAAATAAAAAACCAAAAATAATTTGGGACTTAAGTTTTTAGTGTTAACTCCTTGCTCTTAAAATCATCGTTATTGCCAATCAGCTCTGACAGCCTTTTTTGTGTGCCACTACCAATCGCAGAGATTTCAGCTCCAATTCAGCACTCTGATGCAGCTTCAAATATTCCTTGAGCTGCGCAGGGTCATTTTGCTTGCTCTTGGAGAGTAGCCGTTTTGTTGCTGGAATAATGAGCACTCCTGTGCCGAGAAGCTGACTAAACAAGTCGGGCGTTCCTTCCCTTCTGCAATAGACGATCGCCAATATCTGCTGCTTCTTCGACTTCAAATAGTTTGTCAGCTCCTCGACACCGGCTGGGCGATAGTTGTTTGTTCTGTGGCTGCTAATGGTGTTGTGCACAACGTCGTGCCACACAACCACTTTTTTCTCCTTCAATGGACTGTCTTCTAGTAATCGTCGGAGGTTCTTTCTTTGGTTCAGCAAGTTGTTATTAAGGGATAGGCCAGGAATTGCTGTAACAAGGCTCTCATAACGCTTTTTCTCACAGGTTTTAAGGGTGCTGATGCTGTGGAACAGGGAGCTAGCTGCTACAATATGAAACATTTCGTAACTCAAATTAAAATCGGCCATATTCTACGTATCAAGAAAACTTCAGTTTTTGACTTCATTACGTTGGTCTGCTAAAAGACTCATTTTTTACTTTATGCTAAAAGATTGATCTGCTAAACGATTGGTCCCCATGTACAGCACACATTCTATTGAATGACGCAATGGACGTCCAAGAAAAGAACTGATCGCTAGAGGCCGAAATAATCAGTACTGTATAAAAAAAATTATGCGTACTGTATGTCTAGAATTTCCTATGAAAACATTTTGTTCTCGGCTCAACGGTCTTTGACCCAGGTTTTTTTTCGTCTTTTTTTTTCGCTCGTTAGATGTTTCCTAATCTGTATTAATCGCCGGTTAGTATGATGCTGACATGTTTTCCTTAACTTGAACATCGTTTGAGACAAGCTCTCGTAGTTTTTGTGGATTCGGTAATTTTTTTTAGACTAGGTGGTTTTCATTTCAATTTCTGTCTGCTAGCTTGCAATGTTATTATTTTGTAGTGTCGCTAGTGGTGCGTCATCTCTGTATTAAACATATGATAAAAATTGTGTACATAGTTTTTTTTCTTGAAATGATGGAAATAAATTATATAAGTATGTTAGTATACATTATGCAAATCAATGATTATTTTAGTTTTAATTGAAAGATGACGTCAGTGGTGGATGTCCCACCTACTGGCGCAGTGGATCCCGGTGGCTCAGAAGAAGCTGGACCAACTGTTCCTCCTACTGTTGAAATTGCCGAAGTATCGACATTTCAGCAATATTTGCGGAAGATTTTGCCGATCATGCTTGAGGATGGTGCTATTACACCCTCTGGAAATTTAGAGAAAACTATTGAAATCACTACAAATATCGAATTGTTCAAAAAATTTATGTCTGAAGCAGCAACGAAATCACTTCTTGTGAGAAAATGTGTACTAAAAGGTAAGATAAATTCTTTTTTGTCGCTGTTTCACTTCTGAGGTATTTTAAGTCAGACTTCTTGCAAATTGCGAGGTGTTTTTGGTCCAATTTTTGCTATAGCAAAGATTAACTGTAGAACAGCTTATTTTGCATTGTTTTTGTCTTTCAATGATCTATGATCATTTCTTGACCAGGAGTAGGTAGCTTTATGAGTTTTATCTCCAGCCAGTTGCAATCAAAGGCGTGTTAGTCATAAAACCAAATAAAAGAGAAGGTTAATTCTATCGACAATAATCAAACCCCATACATCGTTACACGTTCATTTAAACGTTTCATTAAATGTTCCCAGTTTCTGAATGTTGGGCCTATGTTACGGCGCGTTTTTAACTTTGAAATGTTTTTCGCTACCGTGAAAATTGCTCAGTATTTCCAAGAGCCTTAGCAGCAAGGATTTTTTAAGTGTTATTACCAAAAATTGACAGTGAAAACTTCACTCTGTTTTTACATGACCACAGTTTTCTCTTTGATAAAACGAATCCTTTTTTCTTAAGCGTAAGCCTTTCTTCATTAATAACAACGATTATTCTTTCTTTTTTGGCCTGTAAGTTTCAAGATAACTGGGAAAACTGATTATTCAAATAAATTGAGGTGATTGCTGGGGAACTTAGGTCTGCACATCAATTTCGGCGTATTGAATTTATCGGATTGTTTTGCGCTTGCTTTTAGCAAGCGTTGTCTAATGGGAAAGTAGACGTTTTTCGTGTTAACAACTACTAGTTAAGCAAAATCTGTTGAATTCGCTTTTAAGGTTTAGCGGTTTTGGAAAATGTGAGATCAGGTTGGTCGTCTCGTGTTACATCACTTGAAAAGAGATCATATATTTTCATAAGCGAGCGTAGTACATTAGTATGACTCTAAATTTTTCAACCCAACTCGCAAATAGAAAGGCCCAATTGGTAGCACTTTTGCTAAAATCACGATCTGTAGCATTGGAAGTTTCATAGCAGCTGTTCTCTGCTTGATTTGTGGCCAGTGTTTGCCGATCGTTAAGCGTCTGTGGCTGAAATGGAAGGAAGTGATACGCCAATTCTCGAGGTCGGAGGTTGGAATCCGACACGTTGTCTTTTTTCTGATTTCAATTTATAGGGCTGCATGTTTGTCGTTATCTCGCTAGTGAATGCAAAGCGCAGTTTTGCCTCTATTCACACTAGCTAGCTTGTGAGAGTTAGCGTTTAGTACGAACCTTCTTTTATTCTAAAGCGTTTAGTACGAACCTTCTTTATTCTAAACTCGCAAATATAGGTGTTAGCGTTTAGTACGAACCTTCTTTGTTCTAAACTCGCAAATATAGGTGTTCATTGACAATGTTCTTTTTTTATGGAAATTTCACTGTAACATTGGAATATGCATAGCATCTGCTTTATTTGTGGCTAATGCTTGTTGTTAATTAAGCGTCCGCGGCTGAGTGGTTAGTGCGTGAGACTCATGTCTAGGTCGCAGTAGGTCGTATCCGAGACATAGCCAAGTTTTTACTAATTCGAGGCTTATTTCCACGTTTTTGATTTGCACATTTTCCGCTTCGCCTCTGTGTCAATGCTTGCGTTCGTGTGTGACACGGTGAACCAAATGATATTTCTCGGCTCAACGAGCATTTACACACGTGTTGGCTGAGTTAGCGCTTGATAGATCTTGTTTTCCTATACTTATTGCTCGAACATTCTTCGGGTGTGTTCAAGTTCTTTCTTTTTTTTTGTTTTCCACGCAAAATCAGGTACCACAAATATTAATTGGAATGGGCTGACTCATATATAATAAAGCCCTTTTAATCGTGAATCGAATGTTAAATAAAGATTTTGAAAAAATTGTATGAGTGTTGAGAAAAATTCGTTTACAAGCCTGAAAATAAGAACAGTGAACTAGAAAAACTTCTTTCCAGAAAAAAATGGTTCATGAAGCCTGTTTACCGCTTTCTTGCCAGTAATACGTTTTAAAAAATCAAAATTTTTCTGCAAATAAATCGGAGAAAAATTTAAGATTTTTTTTTCGACGCCAACAGTTGTTCTGTATGTCTAATTCCTTTTTTTTAGTTTGTGGATTTCGTCTCAAAAAAGCTAGCTGCTGTGTTTTTTTTCCGTTTTTATCACAAGTGGTGCAAAGCTTCGCTTTGCTTCTGCGCAAAACCTTGTTTTTGTTTCTCATTACTTGTAGGTTTTTTTTATCTAAAGGCTTTGTTGTAATTTTCTTCCGGATCTATATAACAACCTTCCCGTTTCATGAAAGGGGAGGATATTCCCAATTCAGCAGAATAATTATATTTTTTTAACCAATCAGAATGCAGGAAAAATAAAAATTTTTCAACTGGAAAGCTGTAAATTGCGACAGCTGTTACATGCCTAATTAGAAGCTGCGCAGGTAGCACAGAATGTTTTCTTAAATTTTTTTTATTCGTTTTCATTCAAAATAGTGTGGTTCATAGTTCGGGTAGTGATGGAAGAACTCTACAAGCGCAAAAAAGTTCCGTGAGTTAGGCTGTTTTTGAAAACATTTGTCTTAAATATCAAATGACTAACAAAAAAATGATAAGTTTAGTTTTTTGTACAAATATTGTTGCATTAGCCTAAGAGCCTAAAGCCTAAACAAAAGTTAATACTGATATAACGTACGTTACTGTATCGCTTTACTCGCTCGAGAATTGAAAGTCAAAAGTTTTAAGCTCAGTTTTTTTGAATCACGATGAAAAGGGCTTGAATCTGATATATCACTCGACCGCTTCCGACGATTATTTGTGGTCCCTGTTTTCTTGTGGAAAACAAATCCAGAAAAAACTTAAACACCTGAATACAAATTTCCTCTCCATTCTTAATGGTGAGAACTATGATTTTCAAGTAAAAAATTTTGCTTTGTTTGGACGACAATAAATGCTAATTTTTTGATGGGGGTGAATAGATATTTCTAAGCAATAGGGAGAATTTGTTTAGCTAGATCCGTTTTTTTGCTGCTACATTTTTACAGTTTTTAAGAAAAATGAATGTTTTCAGGAAAGTCTTATAACATGTCCACGCTAGAATTTGATTTTACGCGGTTTGACTTTGATTTCTTCTGAAGTTCATTTCTTTTTTGTTGGAAGGAAGGCAAACTAAACTCCACTATTGAACACTAAAATTGTTAAGGCCACAAAAACGTGATTTTAGTTTCGAAAGTAGATTTTATGTTCAGATTTCCTTGCATTATAAAATTTTACCTATTGATCCAGTTTCCTCAATTTAGTTTAATTTTATCAAAAAGCATCAGTCAGAATTGTTCTTTAAATTCAAAGAGCTTTAATGGCAGATATTTTTTCTTTAAAATTCAAAATAGCAAATTTTAAAAATAAATAAGACAGTTTGTTTTCCTTTTTTATTGCGTTCATTAGTCTTTTCCAACTCATTTGGCTATTTTTCAATTTATTATCTTTTTATCTGTTTTTGTCGCAAGTAATGCGAATCTTGGATGCGTCTGTTTGTTTTTCTGCGAGCCTAACTTTTTTGGATCCGCTTTTTATCCGATTGTTTTCGCGAAAGGCTTAAATGCCTTAGTGTCATGGATCAAAATTGCTTTTTTGCCAAAATTTTTTTTAAAGGAACACGAATAAAATCCTCTTTTTCAGATAATTTTTTAAACTTATTTTCAGGATAAAATTTGAGATTCATGGAAAGGTTTCTAAAAGTTGTAATTATAATGTTATAAAGAGATAAACATTAAATATAATCTAAAATCTTACTGTGATTTTTTAAGAGAAATGAACGTTGTGAGTACTCATACATAGATCTTGGTGATTTTTTCAGGGGAAAAAATTAATTTTGATCAGGCTCGTTTTTGGTTTTTCGGGGTTCGACTTTTGATTTCGTTTTAAGTTCATTACATTTCCTTGTTTAAAAAAAGTAACTTCCACTATCGAACAGCAAAAGTGTAAAGGTCACGAAAAACGTAATCGACTTCTAATTTCGAAAATGGAATTTATTTATCAGATTTCCCAATGAAATGAAAAGTTAAACGAATTAATCCAATTTTCTCAAATTAGGTTAATTTTATCAAAAAAAACTAGTCATAAATTGTTCGTGAAATTCAAAGAGCTTTAAGGGCATCTATTTTTTCTTTTGAAGGTCTAAAAAAAATTATTTCAGTTTTTTCTGTTTCCTTGCGTCCATGACTGTTTTCCAACTGTCTGCTGGATGTTTTTTTTCTTATTGCAATTTGAATCACGGCTGCGAGAGCTGTGATAAGATATACCACTCTATCATATCTGAAAACTATTCTTGGATCTAATTTTCACTGGAAAATTTCCAATTTCTTAGGTCCCAACTTTTTCTTGTGTTAGAACTAAAAAATGGACCTGGCAGCAATGAAAGAAACCGAACATTTAGTTTGAGCAAGGTCGTAGAAGATAAAATAGTGGTCATGATGATACACCTACAAAAATTGCGTCTAGCTTTTTGTGTAACTTGTTTTTCAATAGCTATGAGTTGGTGATGATATAAGCTTAGACAGATATGTGATTTTTCCTCGTCATATTGTGAAAACACATGTTGCGTTTATTTTGTTTGATTAAAATTTTATGTAAACAGAAATGTTTAGCGAAAGAATGTCAGTGTAGAAACACCATATGTTTGACGCCGCAGTTGACTGCAAATGTGAAATGTGGTTTCATTGCTTGACTGTTTTATGAGCAAAGCTTATTGAGTTGGTAGTTGGTATAAGAAAATGGATTCAGTTTTCATGCAGAATAATCTAATTCTTTCTAGTCTAACTGCTGAAAGAACTGAATGAAATTAGCCGCTCAGTTTTGCAGATCTACTGCATGCTTGCAGGTTTTAAGCTGAGAATTGAGTGTACAACTTCCAGATTTTCTAAGTATAAAAATTTAGGTTGCGCAAGAATTTTTCAGAATTGCGGCATTGAATCGCAGTCAGTGATTGAAGAACCTTTTTGTATCTTTTTCTAATAGGCAATCTCAGAGGAAAGTTGTTGTCTCCAAGAGTTGATTTTATTTGTCTGCTGGTCGTCAGCGAAGTTTTGATTTAGAGATTTAAATAGATAGTCTAATATTTCAAATATATATTTTTTAAAGATGACCTTGAGGCGGATCCCAATGCACCCCCTGGGTCTCCCTCGAGTGCCGGACCCACAACATCTGCTGCCCAAGTTGTTTACACAGTGACAGTGGAAATCAGCTTCGCAAGTGTAAAACAGCAACTCCTGGCCAGTGTGTTGTTCTTGAAACGAGGACTGGTCATAGAGGCGGAGAAGTCAGTGCCATCTCAATTGAGGGTCATGACCTTGGATGACCCCTCGGCGACCCCGTATGAGACACTGCACAACTATGTGAGCAATGCGGTGGCGCCTTACTTCAAGTCGTACATCAGAGCTACTGGAAAGAATGAGTTAGTTGCTAGAATTCTTTATCTAATTCTTTTGTAAATCTTATTAAGAGTCGATGCACGTAGCTCAGACTCTTATATAGGTGCTGATGATTTCGTTTTTTTTGTTTCAGGAAAATTCTAAAAAAAATTTCAGTCTCAAATTTATTTTTCGCGGCTTGACTTTTGATTTTTTTAAGCCCAGTTCATTTATTTTCGTAAAAGAAAGGCTAACTCCTCTATCCAACAGCAAAAGTGAAGAGGTCAGGAAAAACTTCATCGACTTCTAGTTTCGAAAGTGGAATTTAATTTTTAGATTTCCCAGCGGAATGAAAAAGTTTGCCTATTGATCCTGTTTTCTTAAATTGAGTTAATTAAATAAAAAAAGTGTCAATCATAAATTGTTCTAGAAATTCAAAAAACTTTAAGGGCATCTATTTTTTTTCTTTAAGATTCGAAAAATAAGTCAATTGTTCCGACTTTCGATACGAAAGAAACGGAATATTTGTGCTCGGGGTGGGTTTTTTCTTCAGACAAATTTCGACTTTAATTAGCCATTTTTGACGGATTTTTTATATCATTCGAAAGGTATTGTTGTCATGAGCTCAAATTTGAAAAGATATTTCACCTGTGATCCTTTTTCGTGGGGGGTTTAAAGATTGCCATTTTGGCCAATTTGGGACAATTAACGCGCGATATATTTCGCGCTATTAACGCGGAAGCGGAGAGTTAATCCGTCTTAGAAATCGTTCTAAATTGGTAGTGAGAAGCTTATTTGCCATAATTGATTTGTTACAAGGAGAGAAATCTATATTTTTGTACTTTATATGGCGTGTGGGGGGATGATTTTCGTTAAAAATTTCATTTTCGTTTTTTTTTATATTTAATTTTTTAATGTTATTACTGCTCCATAAACCTTAAAAGGCAGTTGGAACATTCTTGGCTTCGCCCTGATACGAGCAGTCTTTTTTTCTGTTTACTTTCGTTCATATAATCTTTTCTAACTGTCTGTTGGCTATGTTTGTTTCAGTATGTTTTTCAATTAAAATTACTGAAAATTAGTAATTGTGTCTTTACCAATTTGAAAGGAAATCCTAATAATGGCGTAAATTCATACATTACGTATCAGCATTAGTTCTAGAACATCATGCATTACTATCATAATCTTGATCTGTTTTGTGTTTAGTCGGGACAGTGATAAATTGGCTCCCTCGGTCGAGAAAAAACTGGCCGAACTGGAAATGAGTTTGCTTCATCTACAACAGAACATCGAAATACCCGATGTCATTTTGCAAATACACCCAACGGTTGTGGCCACAATCAAAAAAGCCAAAGACGAAGATCGAACTGCAAAAGTCGAGGATTTTGATGACCTAATTGAGGACTCCAGCTTCTTGAATGCGCTTCAAAACGGAGTCAATCGCTGGATCCGAGAGATCCAGAAGGTCACTAAACTCGATAGAGATGCCGCATCTGGGACGGCAATGCAAGAGATATCTTTTTGGCTGAACTTGGAGAAGGCTATCCAGAAAATCAGGGAAAAGTTAGACACAATTGAAGTGACTCTGACTTTGGACATTTTGAAACAAGGTCGAAGATACATGGCGCTGTTGTCTTTTGACACTGACACGGGATTAGGACAGGCTATTTCCTTGGTGAATGACTACAACACCTTGATGAAGGATTTCCCTCTGAATGATTTACTTTCAGCGACTGAACTAGACAAGCTGAAAATATCGCTGATAAGCATTTTCCAACACTTCAAGAAAATGCGAACTACTAAATACCCAGTTGGAAGGTGCCTGAGACTGATCGAAGCTATTTCAAGAGATCTAATGACAAAACTGCTGAACATTCTTGGATCCCAGAAATTGATGCACATTTCTCACGACGAGTTCGAAAGAATACTTGCATCATGTACTGAAATATTCCAAACTTGGGACACGGAATATGACAGATTGATTACAGCGCTACGAGAGCAGTCGAAGAAAAAACGAGACGATACTGTTAAAATGATCTGGAGGGCGAATCCTGCGCATAAGAAACTACAAATGCGTTTGGACCAGATGCGAAAGTTCCGAAAGCAACACGAGCAACTGCGGGCTGTGATTGTCAGAGTCCTTCGTCCGACTGTTCGGCAAGCGGCGCCTAACCCGGCAACAACACCGACAGAGCAGTCGGTTAATGTCGTGGATTTGATAGATGCGAGCGATGCAAATGCTATAGACGAAGTGAATCTAGCATATGAAAATATAAAAGAAATCGATTGTTTGGATGTCTCGAATGAGGGTAATTTTCAATCCGTAAAACTTTTTTTTTAGTTAGTTGCTTGTTTTCTTTTACAACACGTTGGTTGTGGTTTTATACCAGACGCAACTGTTGCGTTTTGGGCAGTTAGCTTACGTTACTTCTGATGATTTCGGTGAGAAAATTTCTGAAATAATTTAAGGTGCGACAAGTTGGGAGGCGGCGAAGCGAAGATACGACGAGAGAATTGACCGAGTAGAGACAAGAATCACTTCGAAACTGCGAGACCAGCTGGGCACTGCGCGAAATGCAAACGAGATGTTCAGGATCTTCTCGAGGTTCAACGCTCTGTTTGTGCGTCCCCATATTCGAGGAGCAATCAGAGAGTACCAGACGCAACTGATTCAGAGAGTGAAAGATGATATCGAACATCTTCATGACAAGTTCAAGGTAGCTTTACCAGTGTTTTCTACATGCGAAAACCTGTATTTTAACTAAAAGTTACTGTAGAGCATTTGGAAAGGGACCTGTGAAATTGTGTTAAGATGTAATCCGTTTTTAGATCAACTACCAATCCACCCGGGCTGTCAAAGTCAGCACAGTGGGAGACATTCCCCCGATGAGTGGCAGCATCATCTGGGCGAATCAGATCGAGAGACAACTGGTCGCTTATCTAGGCAGGGTGGAAGCAGTCCTCGGAAAAAGTTGGGAGCAGCAACTGGAGGGAGCTAAACTTAAGTCGACTGGAGATGCATTCAAGACCAAACTGGACACAATGCCATTGTTTGAAGAGTGGGCTAGAAATGTAAGCTCAGTCTTCGGTTATATATATTTTTTTACTACGTGTCTGAACTCATCCGCTTCAAAGGCAGTTATTTTTTGTCGTTCTTTATGCAAATGTCAGGAGCCTATGTTGGTGTTACTATAAAAATTCTGTTGAAATTTTCAGTATATTGTCTTTTCAGTCGAGTCAAAAATTGATTGCCAATCAAGGACGAATCTTCGCCGTAGAAAGCTTTCGAGTACGCAACACGACACGACTTAGATTCAAAGTCAACTTTGACCCCGAGGTCATCTCCCTCTACAAAGAAGTGCGTGACCTGAACGCCATGGGTCATCGACTGCCGATCAATGTGAAAAACAAGTCCCATCAGGCCAACCAGATGTACCCGTTTGCTGTATCGCTGATTGAATCAATGCAGACATACAACAGGACTTGTGATAAAGTTGATCCAGTCTACAGTCTAAGTTTGCTGGTGGCAGTTTTGAAAAGGGAACTGCATAAACTGATTTCAGAGGGGTGTAATTTGACGTGGGAGAGTTATAAATTGGACCATTACGTGCAGAAGTTCTCGACAATGGTGTTCAACTTCCATGAGAAGGTTCGTAATTGTCACTATTATTTATACTAAATGGGTTGATTTTTATTCCAACCTCATATAATGAGCTGTACAGTCTGGATTGTCAATCTAAAAGTTTTTCGCGATCGTAAACCATGATCGTTTGGTAACAAATTGTTTTCAAAATGTATTTAATTTATTATGGTGTTAAACGAGTTGAAGTTTCTTTGACAAATTGTATACTGTAGCATCTGCCATACTCGTGCTGACACGAAGATTATTCTTTCAGGCCGAAGACCTGGTACTGATCGAGGACCGAGTTTGGAAAGAAGTGGAGAAACTGGGAACGTGTGAGTACAGCTCTGAAGTGTTCTCCACCATCCTCCAGAAGATCCAAGATGCTGTGGACGAACTCAATCTGGCATCCTTCAGCAATCTGCCCTTCTGGGTCAAGATTGTAGAGGAGAAGCTGGAAAAGAAACTGGTGGTGAGACTAGAAGCCGGTTTGAAGGCCTGGTCTGAGAAGTTGCTGAGTGGAATCAAAGAGGTGAAGGATGATGATGAAATGGAAGACACGGAGCCGGAAGTGGGACACAAATTGGGAGGCGATCCAGTGATTCCGGTTAGTTGTTCTATCAGTCCCTCGAGGCTTATCAAGTTCCTATCTTAGTATATTTGAGCATGTCTACTGGGCTCAGTTGGGCTTGAACAACCCAGAAAACTAAGAAGTCGTGTATAAATCTCTCATTGAATTAATTAGTTTCGTTGCTCCTATAAGAAAACGTTGGACGATTTCAGCCTCTTGTCCACGAGATTAGAATCATCAACCAAGTCATGCAGTTGTCGCCGTGCATCGAAGAGTGCAGGTATCAACTCATTCAGGCACTGAATGCCTGGGAAGCACATGTCCTGGAACTTCCCAGAATCCAGACTCAAAGATTCCAAGTAGGAACCGAAGTTCAGACAATCCGAAGGTACACACACTTGCTGGACGGTATGCCAAATGGGTACACCAATCTAGTTGATGCGTACAAGGCTATTGAAACTGTAGTTGCCGCCGTTGAAAATTACACGCAGACCTGGTTAAACTTCCAGGCTCTCTGGGACTTGAGTATGGACCACGTGTGCGCTAGAGTTGGCAATAATATGGACTTGTGGATGCAGTTGCTATTTGAAATCAAGAATGACAGGACGACATTTGACACATCGGAGACGAGGAAGACATTCGGACCTATTGCAGTCGACTTTGGAAAGGTATAAATTAAAAAAGACGTTAGAAGAATTTACACAATTAAAAGTCTTTATAGATAAATACACACAAAGGCATTAAATCTTCACAAAAACCACTGATTTTTTTGAAATTTTTTGCAAGCCTTGAATGAAATTCAACTTCAAATGTGCGATATTCTTTCTTGTGATTTCCTTGAGATTGACCCTCTCACCATGGTGCGTGACAGGCTAATTAAATACATCAACAATAGGAATGATTTTTAAGAAATTGTTCGGTTTCCAGGTGCAATCGAAAGTGAATCTGAAGTACGATTCGGTCCACAAAGAGATCCTGGCAAAGTTTGGATCCCTCCTCAGCCACGAGATGTCGGAAGTGTTCACAGTGTTGAGCAAGTCACGTGGCGAACTGGAGTCGCATTCAGTTGAGACTGCTTCGACGTCGGAAGCTGTGTCGTTTATCACGCACGTGCAGTCGTTGAAGAGGAAATTGAAGTCGTGGGATAAACAGGTGGAGACATTCAAAGCTGGTCAAAAAGTCCTAGAGAGACAGAGATTCCAGTTCCCTCAAGGTAGGTTTATTCAGTCGAAGGTTACAGACGAGCAGATCATATATGTATTTCCCATCAAAGCGGTCAGTGCTGTTTAATGTCTTGATAATTGGTGTCAAAAATCTAGAGAATTATTGAAAGCTATAATTAGCTGTCGAAAGCTTTTAATATCAAGCGTGCTATTTGCAAGCGTTTTAAAATCGGAGCGTAGTTTTTTTAGATTAACAGGTTGCTTAACAGAATCCTTGAATCATTGTATGGCTTGCTAATTGCTAAGTTGGAATTCTGGGTTTTGTTATGCACTTTTATGCCTGGCGCTGCAAAGATCGAGAATTCAAATCCGGTCAAAATCTGTTTTTTTTTCGGCTTGAAAAATTAATCGGTTCATCTCTTGTCTTCTTATTAAGTGTAAAACGTTGGACGATTGCAGCCTCTTGTCCACGAGATTGTCCACGTTGACTTTTGTAGTTCGTGATGATTTTTTCGGGAGAAAGTTTAAATATTTTTTCACGCTGAAATTTGATTTTTTGCGGGTTGATAGAAGTTCAGTTCATTTTTTTTTAGCTTAGCCTCAGAAAGGAAGGCAAGCTCCACTATCGAACAGGAAAAGTAAAAGTTACGAAAAACTTGAATGCCTTCTAGTTTCAAAAATGGACTTAAGCTTTCTGACTTCTGGATAATTCAAAAATACCTATTCCTCCAGTTTTCTTCAAATGGGATTTTTAGGAAAAAACTCTAATGATAAACAATTCTTGAGCATTAAATAGTTAAAAGGTGATTTGAATTTTTTATTCGAAATTCAAAAGATGAAAAATAAGCAAAAAGGTTGGATCCGCTGTTTTGGCGGCCGTTGATTAAATATGAGAACATGATACTTCTAGTCTCAAAATCACAATCAATTTTTTTCTCATTTTTTGAAAATCTTTTTGAGTTTTCCTTATTTCATTTTGTTTTGCTTGCTTAGAGCTTTTTTTAAGCATTTTCTTTGATTGCGTTGGCGAAGCGCAGCAACGCCTCTGTGACTTAAATGATTCGTTCGACTGACTTTTTGACTCATCACTCTGATAGCAATTATTCAATTGTGCCGAGTCTTGGAATACTTCGGCTTTGACGTTTTTGAAAAATTTGAAAAAAGCGGAGTTTCGTGCCGTCATTTTCTTACGCTTGAAAAGCGACTTGAACCTTTGTTCTCGTTTACATTAGCGGCTTACACTCGCAAGCTTCGAGCGTAGTGTATTATTACGAACCTTCTTTTTTCTATCCTAACTCGCAAATAAAAATGTTCATTAAAAGTGTTCAATTTTTTGGCATTTTTGCTACAATCATTGGCATTTTTGCTACAATCACGATCTGTAGCTTTGAAAATTTCAAAATATTTGTTTTTTTTTTGCTTCATTTGGAGCTATTGATTGTGATTTATTAAGCGTCCCTGGCTGAGTGGTTAGTGCGTTTGACTGGTAATCTGTAGATTGCAGGATCGAACTCGACAAGTATTCGACTTTTTACTGATTCGTGGCCTTTTTCTACTTTTTCTTATTGCACTTCATAGAGTTGCTTTCTGTCGCGTTTCGCTAGTGTTTAGCGAAGCGAAGCTTCGCCTCGTACAGAAACTTCGTTCTCAGAATTCGTACGTAAGAATAATACGTGTTTACCTTTGCGATAAGCAAGGACTCATTTCTGGTGTACTTCTGGACTCATCTCTAGTTGTACCTTCTGAGAAATCCCGGCCCGCTTTAAATTCTTAGCGTTCGTTTTCAGCTTAGACTGGAGGTAACAAGTTTGCCTGGTACGGCAAAGGTCCTCGGTTCGAATCTGACTGGAACCTGTTTTTTTTTCCAACGAAATTTTCCGTTTCAAAAAAATGTCGGCTTAATATTTGTCTGCTTACATTATCGTAAAATTATTTTTTCTTGCTATGCGCAATTTACAGAATTTTGAGTCAATTCAAGTGAAACGTAGATTTTATGCTCACCTCTGGATCACAAAGTTTGCTATAGTCTTAATAGAAATTGTAGTTTTTCGGCTTAATTGGTTTCAGGATGTTATTATATCGGCTTAATGGCCTCATCTTGCGACTATCGACCAGCGAAAAAAGTTATTGCGTTCCTGTGTGTTTTGGGGGTGAGGGGACAAAAAATTTTGAGAATTTCTTTTTTTTTCCGTCGTAATCGGTTTCGGTTTTTATCATATCTGCTTAGTGGCCCCATATTGGTTGATTTGACGAGCAATTAAAAATTTTTGTGTGTGCTGAGGGTGAGGGGACTTGTTATTTTTTTTACAAGTCTTATTTCTCGTTGATTTTTTTCCATTTTTTTTATTATTGTTTTTTTTTGGCAAGTGGTGCGAAGCTCAGCTTCGCTGTATAAGTTGCTTAATTATTGAAGTTTTTTAAGGTGTTCAATTGGCGTAGAACATCTCATACTTGACCGCCCTAGCTAGATAGTTCGAATCTTATTGGGACCTTTTTGCTTTATTGTCAAACATGTTTTTTCGGTATAAAATCGCCTCATATTATTTTTTGAAACGATTTTTATGCCTGTGTTCTCCTCGGGAGTAGGATTGAAACTCGTAGCTTCAAACATTTCATAGCTCAATTTTTTTTGGCAACATTTTTTCAGATAAACGGGCATATTCCGAATAACGGGCTTCGTCATTTTTGTTTCAATGCTAATTAGAATCTAGCAAAAACATGAAACTTTGTTAGGCTTACTTTTTCTTCGAAAGGTGAGATAGCTTGCCATGCTATATTTGTGCCGTATTGCAAGTGGTGCGTAGCTCGGCTTCTTCTCTGTATAAAAATTGCTATCTGATTAGGCTGGATGTATGCTGACCAAGTTGATGGCGAGTGGGTTGCATTTAACGAGATCATGAAGCGAAAAGATGCCTCGATTCAGTCTCAGATAGCCAACTTGCAGATGAAGATAGTAGCGGAAGACAAAGTTGTGGAGCAGAAGACGGTGGAAGTGTTGGGAGAGTGGGAGAAGGATAAACCAGTGGGAGGGTCGATGAAGCCAAGTGAAGCGACTGTTCAGTTGACAATTTTGGAGGGCAAATTCACGAAACTGAAGGAGGAAAGAGATAACATGAACAAAGCCAAGGAAGCCCTGGAACTTGGAGAACCTGGTAAGCACCGGCACATTTGGAGAAGGATCCGAAACATGATTGCAAACTTGATTGAAAAGTTGCTGATAGGAGCGGTCTAATGTCCCGGGTTGACCAAAACCGCTAATCATACAATTTTTGTACATGGGAAAATGCTGATCATACACGTTTCAAGCAATTCCATAAGTACAAAAAATTGCATGAAAAGTCTATGATTAGTGATTTTTCATATATGGAAATTGTATGACTAGCATTTTTCCATAAACCAAACATATTGATTTTATACATTTTAATTTCTCAAAATTTTTTGGTAGTGTTCATAACCGAACACAAGTGACAAAAACCTTCGTTACTCAAAGTAGAGTAACCAAAGTTTTGACCGTCTGGCATTAAAAATGCATTGGAAACGGCCTGAAACTTGGTCAAATCTGTCCTACACAAATAATATAACGAAAGTATCTAACTTCTAATTTTTGGCAACGATGATTACTTTGGCAACAATGATTACTTTTTAAAATTTGAATTGTTAAATTATCAGACATTGATCGAGGCATACATAAACATGCCATACTAAAAATAAGAATTTTTAGCGTTTTTGAAAAAACGTTAATCAGCGAAAAGGAAAAAAAATCCAATATTAGTGTATCCACGACTACGTTATGCACACAAAAAATTAAATTTTGCATGCAAAAAAAAATTTCCAAATCTTTGTTTTAGTACAAAATTCAATTTGCGATTGAAAAAAAAATTGGGACAATTTCAAAATTACTTTTTCGTTGTCGCTGTCAAAAAATGCTAGTCATACAATTTCCATATATGAAAATTGTATGATTAGCATTTTTTTGACAAAAAGTTTTTCTTTTTTATTTTCAAAAAATTCGATGGCATGGTTTTTGCTAAATGTAGGAAATTTTTATGACAATTATTCTTTCATAGACTTGGTTTATGGAATTGTATGATTAGAATTATTGGTCTATGAAGGTCAACCCGCGGTTTCAGATGAGGAATGTTCAATTCCACTATTTCAAAGATATAATTTGAATAATAATAGCAAAATCTTTTAGATGCTTTGTATGCTCTTTTGCTGTATGAGAACTCGAAAAAGCGCTTTTGTTGAGTGCGAAAAGGCAAATTGAAGTTCACATTTTGCATGATCTGATTCAATTGATTTAAACAGGAGCAAAGAGCGCCCTTGATGACCAACTGCAAATCGCTCTGGAGGAACTCACTGACCTCAAGGGCGTCTGGGGTGAACTGGCTGGCATCTGGGAGCAGATCGAGATCCTCAAAGACCAGGCATGGGTGTCAATATCGCCGAAGAAACTGCGCCAGAGTCTGGAAGCACTGATGACACAGCTGAAGAACATGCCAGCTAGATTGCGACAGTATGAAAGCTTTGATCACGTGCAGAGGGTGCTGAAACAGTACTCGAAGATGAACGTGTTGATCGTGGAACTCAAGGTTTATTACGTTGTTTGTGTATTTGTTCCTTATCCCTTTTGATCCCGATGAATTTGTAAGTTTAATGCAACAAACAGGGATTCGGATTTTTTTTTGCTGAGTTGTTGCTGAGGAATTTTTCTGAACCTTTATTAAATTGAAAGAGCAAAGCTATATGAAGCATCGTTTAACCATCAAAAGTGTTAAAGAACGAGATCTGGGATTTAAGATAATCTAATAGAATCTGACATTGGTTTTAGGCGGACTATTTGAAAGACAGACACTGGAAGACCTTGATGAAGAAGCTGCGAGTGAACTGGGTCATGACTGACTTGACACTGGGCCATGTTTGGGACATTGACTTGGGAAAGTTCGAGAGTGATATAAGAGAAGTGCTGGCTGTTGCACAGGGAGAGAATGCACTGGAAGAGTTCTTGAAACAAGTATGACTTCCTATTATCTGTTCAGAAAGTCTCATTGATAATTTAATAAACTGATAAGTATCTTAACCTTTTCTAATTGTTTGACTAAATATACTTGAAACTCTGTGTAGTTTTGTAGCTTTGTTCTCGTTTCCGTATGCGTAAAATTACTGAAAAAACTATATTTTAATTTTACGGTTGCGAAGAACAAAATTAAAATAACTCGATTGAATCTTGTTTGGCTGTAGGTTAGGAACTGCTGGCAGCACTATGAACTGGAACTGATCAACTACCAGAACAGGACCAAAATCATCAGAGGCTGGGACGACCTCTTTGGCAAGGTCAAGGAGCACATCAATTCAGTCCAGGCCATGAAGCTGTCGCCATACTACAAGGTAAATTAATCTGGAAAGTTACGGATGTCTTTACTGTGGATTTGGAAGCGAATTAAAATCAATTAGTACTAAGTGTAGGTTGATTGACGAGATTTTAGTTTCCATTTAGTGTTTGTATTTATTAGTTGGGCTTAAATTTACTCCATGCTTTTTGTTGGAACTGTTTAGGGGGTGAGTAAAGCTTTGGGTGGGAAAAGACAGAAATTGTTTTTAGTCCACGGTACAGAATTCGAGGCCGTAAAATGAAATGGTACAGGATATAATTAATTTACTGCACTCGCAATTTGCACAAAATGCTGACCGATGTGAGAAAAATCAGATCGTATACCGTTTATCTAACGTTGAAAACTTTAAAAATATATATATTCATGAGAAAAGGTGTATGATCTGATTTAGCTTCAAGGATATTCATATTTGTTTCTATCTCATTAATCAATGATGTATCCAGGTGTTTGAAGAAGAAGCTACTGGTTGGGAGGACAAACTGAACCGGATTAATGCCCTGTTTGATGTGTGGATTGATGTGCAGAGACGCTGGGTATACTTGGAGGGAATATTTGCTGGCAGTGCGGATATTAAGAACTTGTTACCGGTCGAGACACAACGTTTCTCGTCGTAAGTAAATTATGACTGTGTAAGTTTCCATTCCTTTTTTGACGTCAAACTTTCAACGTGTCTAACAGAATCACTGAATCATTTGATAGCTGGATTTAAAATAAATTAGATTTCAGTGTTTTTTCTGCTCATTTGGCGCAGACTTAACGTTCATACCTGAAACGACAAAGGTCAAACGCTCAAATTCGGCCAGAATCTCTTCTTTTTGCAAACTTAATATTTTTCGCATAAAAATAATGGACGGCCTTTCTTTTCCACTCTTCTGGTTGGCTTAGTTGCTTTGCGCTAGCACGGACTGTTTGTTGCGATTTAATTAATTTTCACTATTACTAAATATTTTTAATCAAACCCTCTGATGTTTTATAGCGTATTTTCATTATCTTTGTAGTGACAATATAGCAATGAATGGAGCATAGTCAAATTGTTTGAAATCATCCGATGTTTTCCTCTGCTTAGTATGAGTTTGTCTTATTAGATTTTATCGATAAATGTGTGATTACAGGGGCGGATAACAGGATTTTCTCGAGGGGGCGGATTTTCAAAAAATTTCAAACTTTGTCAACCTTTTTTTTTAGGTCGACCAAATTTATTTTCCGAGCTCTCCCAAAGCACTAAAAAGACCCTGTTTTGGTGAATTTTTGACCAAAAAATTGCGTGTTTTTTGGCGCGCGCTCCCCCCTCAAAATTAGTATATATTGGCGCCTAAGGCGCCTTTAGAAAAACTTTTGTGTCCGTCACCAAATATGAATATCTCAAAATAGTACAAAGAGAGGACCCTTTGGGTCGGCAGGTGGTCGAATCCCTGAGAGAGAGGGGGGGGGGGGCGTCCGCCCCTGTGTGATTATAAACTATGAAATAGGTCACTTTTTTACAGTCAATTTTTATACGCTTGCATGTGGGGATATATATTTGCATCACAAGTAATGCGAAACACTGCTTTGTTTCGTTGTGTCACTATGGTTCTAAAATTTCGGGCAATTTGTTTATGTTGAATCTGTTTAATACGAAGAATATTGATTTCAGTTATTATGTAGGTTGTTGAGATTCTTGTCGTGATGACTGCCTAATCTGAATCGAGAGAAGAATCGACGGGTTCTTCTCTCATTGCACACAATGATTGCATAGCGCGGGGCCATCTGAACCCAATCATGTCGTTTATTGACTATAATTGATAAATTCCAAAATATTTTATTTTTTGATTCTTCGGACTGATCCTGGTTAGCTAATTCCAGCCAGCTTGCCTTGTAACGAAGAAGAATGCGTGAAAGCTGAAGTTGAATGTAGTCAAATGACATTTTATGGATCATAAGCGTGTTTACATTTGCGAGCGTTGTGTAAGAATACTACTATTCTCTTTTTCCAACTTAAGACGCAAATCTTAGTGCTACTTTTGGTGACACTTTTGAAGCTGGCTCCATTGTCAGTTTGATAGCATGTGCTTTGAAATTCAATCTGTAAGAAGCCCGTGCAGTTGCGAGGACCGGAGAATCTAAATCAAGGCTTATTTTTTCAAGGCTTATTTTAACTTTTTTTTATTGCGAATACAAAGAATACCTCTGTGTAGACGATGGCTGGATTATGCCTATTCTTGAAGTACTATGAAATAGGTCGCCTTTCCTTACAGCAACTTTTATAAGCGTGGGCGCTGGTATATATGTTACGATCGCTGCTTAGTCTGTGTGTAAATTCGTTTGCAACATTAAGGGTTTTGGTTTATGTTGAATGTGTTTTTAAACAACGTTGATTTCAACTATGGTATAGCTTTTTGGAGATTCTGTTGTAACTTGCCACTTTTTAGCGTCCCTGTAGATTATTTTGGATGTGATTGATGTGATGACTGCCTAATCTGAATCGAGAGAAGAATCGACGGGCTCTTCTCTCATTGCACACAATGATTGCATAGCGCGGGGCCATCTGAACACAATAACGTTGCTTCTCGACTCTACATGTATATTTTTTGATTATTCAGCTTGTTCTTTGTTAGCTTATGTCAGCTCGATTTTTAATGTAGCAGAATACGTGAAACTTGAAATATATTGTAAACTAGTTTGATAAAGTGTTCAGTCCATGTTCATTCAAAAATATCTTTGCTTTTTTCTTCGCAACTTTATTCTAATTGCAAATGATGACTGCCTAATCTGATAAAGGGATCCGAGGCCTCTGAAAAGGGTTGCTTTGGGTCCATTGCACCAAATGACTGCAATGCGCGGGGCCATCTGATCATTTTTGATTTTAATGGGTTCGGAATGGGTTTTAATGGGTTCGGATACGTTTGAAACGTTCATTTTTTCAAAAAAAATGTTCGCGGGAGTGAATACTGATAATACTAAGAATTATACTACAAATTTAACGAATAGATTTTCGCTAATATAGGTCTTGATCATTGTTTTTTTTTCGCGCAGTCTTGAAATTTGTTCACGTTCAAATTTGCCTGATATTTGGTTGGTTGTAAAGTTCAGATCATTTCGTTTGTTAATGCTATCGATTAAAAAAGTCTAAAGGTCTTGAAAATCTCGAATGATTTCTAGATCAAAAATAGACTTTACTTTTCTGAATTCCCAATGAGATTGATAACTTTTCTCTTACAGGAATGACATTAACATACCTTTTCTCTTAACAATATTCTTTGAAGGGGATAACTTAATGTAAAACGTGCAAATTATGAACAGTTCTTGAAATTTAAAGAGCTTTATCGTGAATTTCAAATTTTTTCGGGAGTTTCGGAAGTTTAACAATTTTTCAGCTCTCTAGGATATATTTTCCAGGCGAATTCTTATTTGGTCTAGTGTTAAAGTGCGTGGTTATCGATCCTCAAGTTCCAAAGCATGGAATTTTTTTCGATGTCAGCAATTTTTACCATTATGGAAGGTCGTTCGGTAGTTCGTAAATTTGTAAGTTCTCAGTTCGCATAAGTTGCTCTGTTGTAAACGAGTAGATGAACGTATTGCAGACTCTTATATAGGTAGTGATGATTTTTTTTCCAGGAAAAGTCTTAAAATTTGTTCAGGCTCAAATTTAATTTACTCGGTTTGACTTTTGATTTATTTTCAAGTTCAGTTATTTTCCTTTATTAAAAGGAAGGCGAACTCTGTCGATGATAAATTGTTCTTGAAATTCAAAGTGCTTTAAGGCCATATATTTTTTCTTTGAAATTCGAAAGTTGAAGTTTTCAAAAAAACAAGTCAGTAAGTTTTTCGATTTCTCTATGTTCATGACTCTTCCAACTGTCAATTGTTTTGTAATTAGTGGTTGATGTCTCAGTTTCTGTTCGCTAGCGTGAATTGCTGTGCTTGCGTTGTATCGCAGGTGTTGCGATGCTCCGCTTAGCCTCTGTGCAGTAGTTTGTAACAGGGAAGATCATTGAGGTTCTGCATTCCAGGATCAGTTCAGAATTCTTGGGATTGATGAAGAAAGTCACTCGTGCTCCTCTAGTTTTGGACGTTCTCAACATCCAAGGTGTCCAAAGACAATTGGAGAAACTTGCCGACCTCCTGAACAAAATCCAGAAGGCTCTTGGTGAATATCTGGAACGTGAGAGGGCTTCTTTCCCTCGTTTCTATTTTGTAGGTGATGAAGACTTGCTGGAAATAATCGGGAACAGTAAAAACGTTGCAAGATTGCAGAAGCACTTCAAGAAAATGTTCGCGGGAGTGAATACTTTGATTTTCAACGAAGATTACACTGTAGTGGAGGGCGTGGCTTCGCGAGAGGCAGAGAAAGTTGTCTACAAAACGAAGGTTTCACTCATCGAGAACCCGAGGATAAACGAATGGCTGACGAAGACAGAAAGTGAGATGAAGATTTCCCTTGCGAAATTTTTAGCCGATGGTGTTGCAGGGATCCAACAGTTTTCGACGGCCGAAGTGATTGACCAGCAGAAGTATATGGAGTGGTTGGACAATTATCAGACACAGTTGGTGGTCATTGCAGCACAGATTGCATGGACTCAGAATGCGGAAGTCGCTTTGGGAAAAATAAACGGAGGTGACGACGATTTCCTGTGACACATTAGAATAGTTGGCAATATTGAAACTGAATACAGTCATCGGTTTTTGCTTAAGCTTAAAATGAATAAGTTTTTTTCTTATTTTTTCGATGGAATTAAAATTCAATTTGTTATTGAAATACTCCTTGGATATGAGTGAAATGTTTCGAAAAACTTTCGTTATTAGGAACTGATCTTTCGCCTTTGGAACAAGTCAGTGGCAACGTGGAGAAGGTCCTAAACGTCCTTGCTGACTCAGTGTTACTGGAACAACCTCAACTGAGACGAAAAAAGCTGGAACACATGATCACAGAATTAGTCCACCAACGTGACGTCACCAGATTGATGGTGTCCAAGAAAATGAATTCGACTGCAATGTTTGATTGGCTCATGCAGATGAGATTCTACTTTGACCCCAAAAACTCGAATCCTTTGAAACAATTGGATATTGTGATGTCTAATGCGCATTTTAACTATGGCTTTGAGTACCTAGGAGTGGTGGATAAGCTGGTCCAGACTCCTCTGACGGATAGATGTTACTTTACTCTGACTCAGGCACTGGATGGGAAATATGGAGGGTCTCCATTCGGTCCAGCAGGTGCGTATCAATTCAATAGTTGAAGTTGAAAACACGCCATTCGAAAAAACATGCCAGGTTAAAATTGGCCTAATTGTTTTTCTAATAACTGCTTGTTTTGTACTGTTCGTTTTGTATATGTTCTTGGTTTCAGGAACTGGGAAGACGGAGTCTGTGAAGTCCTTGGGGAACCAGCTGGGAAGATTCGTGCTCGTTTTCAACTGTGACGAGACGTTCGACTTCCAGGCCATGGGCCGAATCTTCGTCGGACTCTGCCAGGTATAATTCTGATATTTAATGCTAAATTCTGATATTTAATGCTTAAAAAAACTAATTCTGATTTTTAATGCTAAAAGGTATAACCGAAATAGAATCTGAACAATGAATGATGAAAAATTTTTCCTTGCTCTTTTTGAAACGGTCAGAATCTTTTTTAAATTAATATATAAAGAAAACAAATATTTTGTCTTCAAGAGGTTCCCAAATTTTTCTCTAGGTTCCTCGTAGTTTTTTCTACAGAACTCAGATATATCATTAATATGATGTCAGATCAGAGTTTCAATTCGCAGTCTATGTTGAATTTGTAAACAGGTTGGTGCATGGGGCTGTTTTGACGAGTTCAATCGATTGGAGGAGAAGATGTTGTCTGCGGTGTCTCAGCAAATCCAGGCCATCCAGGAGACCTTGAAGACGATGGGTGCACTGACTGTGAAGCCAGACAAGCCACTAACTGTGGAACTGGTGGGAAAGACTGTCTCTGTAAATCCGGACATGGCTGTGTTCATTACGATGAATCCTGGTGAGACCCCCTATGTATAAATTGTTAAAGAATGAAATGACTTTTCACACATTTAGGTCGCGTTTTTTTTCATTTGCAATCTGCAGAATAATCCGCCTTAGTAAAACCTGGGCTCTGCTCAGCCGTGATTTTGTTAGTATTAAAGTTATAACCAATTTCAACTAGTATTTGTTAGTTAATTATTTATAACCAATAGTCAAATCAATTTTTCGTTCTTTTTTGCTAAAAATGGGAAAAAAACTAGATCGTTATATCATCAGGCGAAAACTTAGTTTCGCTTATGCTATGCCTGGGATCGTTTTCATGGAATATCTTTTTTCTTTCAGGCTACGCCGGTCGATCCAACTTGCCGGACAATTTGAAGAAACTGTTCCGAGCTATGGCCATGACCCAGCCGGACAAACAACTCATCGCCCAAGTCATGCTCTTCTCTCAGGGCTTCCGAACAGCCGAAATCCTATCAAAGAAAATTGTCCCCTTGTTCCGACTGTGTACGGAACAACTGTCGAACCAGAGTCATTATGACTTCACACTGCGTGCGTTAAAAGCAGTGTTGAACTGTGCAGGAAGTATAAAGCGTGAACGAATGATGAGAAGACGTGAAGAGTTGGAGAAAGAAGGTCAAACTGTGGACCCGTATGCCATTTCGGAGCAGATCAACGAGCAAGATGTACTGATTCAGTGTATCTGTGAAACAACCATTCCGAAATTGGTTGCAGAGGATATTCCTCTGATGAGGTATTGAACCACTTTCACCGTCATAGATTAATTTGATTATTATTATCTAACTTAACGAGGCAAAACTGTACCTCTATCAGATGCGTATATTTGTGATTTTGTTAGTGGAGTTCAGAAACAGTCCTTGAAAGTGTCAAAACTCAACCGCCGAGTCCACCTGCCAAATTATTGTGAAATATATAAGCAAATAGTTTTTCCGCTATTAATTCCTTATACCATAAATTTTTTGGCACCTACAATTGTCGAGGAGTCCGCTACGAGCGAAAAGATTAAAGAAATAAGCAAAAATATTTCAGAAACATTTTAGCATTTGGAGCAACTCTATATTTTTACCATTTTTTTCTGATTCCAGTTTCTCCTTGAGGATCACAAGGAGGGTCGAGTTGGGAAAGGTTGCGAAGTTCGATGAAACGAGACTCTGCTGGCAAATTCGTGCAGCGTAAACATTTAAGGGAAGCGAGCCAGACGGTTGAAAAATGAATTTTCTAGTCCTTAACTTATAAAATGAGAACTCGTCCTGGCTTGTCTCCGTTGGACTTGAATTGTTCTCTGTTGGTCTTTAATCAACTTGTTTTTTCCTTCAGGTCTCTCCTGGCTGATGTTTTTCCTGGCGTTGACTACTCCGGATCGATGATGGACGATCTAAGACGTGAGATCCAGAAGGTCTGTGAGGAAAAGTTCTTAGCTTGTGGAATGAAAGAAGATGAGTTGGGATACATCTGGACCGAAAAGGTATGTTGTGTGATGTTTGTTGTGTGTTTAATTTCTGCTCGTGGTGCAAATGTGATAGTTGGGTCCCTGAAGAAAAAGAATTGGTATTATAATCTTCGGTAATAGGGTGAGCATTTTAAAATGTTTTTAGAGTCGATGAACGCAGGGAAGACTCTTATATAGGTCTTGATGGTTTTTTCAGGAAAATTTGTTAAGTTTCAAATTTGATTTTCGAGGTTTGACTATTAATTTCATTTAATTTGTTAAAAGAAAGGCATTCAAAAGTTGAAGGCTCTTGAAAAAACAAGTCAGTTTTTTCAGTTTCCTTGCGTTCATTACTTTTTTTTCCAACTGTTAGTTGCCTATGTTTAATCAATAAGTTGATATTAGTTCTGCAATACTGTGCTGATTTAAATTAAACGGACATAATTAACAGAATTTGAATTTTAAAAGGCTTTTTTTCTCAAATTGGGTTAAGATTCGACAAAAGGTGAACAGAACACTAGTTGCTCAGAATTTCATCAGAATTAATATGGTGCAATTTATTTTTTGAAATTCTTCACCAAAATTTTCCCCCAAAAATGGGTCATTTTGGCTTTTTTTTATCAAAAGAAGACTCTTACTCAGTACGACAAAGTTCGCGAAAAGTAGAATTTCAATAAATCTGCCTAAAAGAATATATTTTTGGTTGATAGCCAAAAAAAGGTCATTTTTACTATATAAAAATAAAAATCTTTGCTTAAAAATAATTTTCAAACGTTTTGCGCAATTTTTTGGAATGTTAATCTTTCTAAAACTTTGTCGGGCGTTGTAAGAGGCTTCTTTTGATATAACATTTTCACCAAATAACTCGATAGTTTTAGCATAATTATTGGTTCACTAAAAAAAATGCAAATTGACCCATTTTTGGAGTAATTTTGGTTGCGAATTTCGAAAAATAAAGTGCAGTTTTAAGCAGTTCGAAAGAGCAGATTTGGTCTCTTCACTTTTGTCTAATCTTAACACATTTTGAGAAAAAGCCTTTGAAATTTCAAATTTTGTTCGTTTTGTCCGGATAATTTAAATCAGCTTTAGTTGCTTGAAAATTTGTTGTAAAAATAGAGATAAAGGTAACTGTAAATGAGTTAGGTTTTGAGTATAAGTTTGTTTGCCCTCACAAATGTAATTTTGTGAATCTTTTATAACATAAAAGATCGGAAATGTGATGAAATTATTTGTTTTAGGTTCTGCAACTGTACCAAATCATGAACTTGCAGCACGGTCTCATGTTGGTCGGACCATCGGGAAGTGGAAAGACCTGTGCCTGGAAGACTCTCCTCACAGCCCTGGAGAGATTTGACGGAGTGGAGGGAGTGGCGACCTTGATTGACCCCAAGGCCATCACGAAGAAGGAGTTGTATGGCAGTCTGGACCCAAATACGAGAGAGTGGACTGATGGTATCTTCACCTTGACCTTAAGGAAGGTAAGATTTCAAAAGAAATCAAAGTTGTAGTTGTAGTTAATAGTTGCTGAGTAACTGTGTGGGGAAGATGCTGTCTCAACATTTAAATTATTATCGTCTTCATGATAAGGTTTTTAAGCCTTGCAAGGGTGTGAAGCGTTTCTGCGTGAAGAGCTGATCAGCTCGTATGTTGGTCCTTTCCCTTGTGGATTAACCGTATTTACACTTGCGAAGCAAAGTGTATTAGTACGAACTTTCTTTTTAAGAGTAATGAACGTAGTGAAGACTCTTATCTAGGTCTTGCTGATTTTTTTTCGTTTCTTTTTCCAGGAAAAGTCTCTAATAGCTACAGATGTGCATTCATACATATTGATGCATTTACGAATGCACTTAGGTATATATGCACTTGTTGTGCTCAATTGATATTCATCTGCTGAAAGTGTCGTAAATAGCGTTCTCCAAATACAAAAGTGCAAATAGCGCGAAAATTCGTGAACGATTTCTAGTTTCGAAAGTGGAATTTAATTTTCAGATTTCGAGCGGAATAAAAACTTTACCTGTTGATCCACTTGTCTCAAGTTGGGTTAATGTTATCAAAAAGCGCTTATCATAAATCGTTCTGTAAATTCAAAGAACCTTAAGGGCTTCTGTTTTTTCTTTGAATTTCGAAAGTTGAGATTTTTTAAAAGAAAGTCAGTGTATTTTATGTTTACTTGCGGTCTTTACTCTTTTCCAATCCTCGATTGACTGTTTTCCCTTCTAAGTCGCAAATAAAAGTGCTACTTTTGGTGGTACTTTTGAATCGGTAGGCTGTGGTAGTAGTATAATGTCATATGTGCATTGAAATTTGATTTTAAAAAGTTAACACAGTTGATGCATTTTTAATTCGTCAAACGAACCGAAAAAAGTTATTTGTTTCAAGCAGCAGTACAATGATAAAAAGCTTGCTCTCATAAATTTTCCAACTCAATGTAATTCGCAATTTTTTGAAATGCATCAGTTTAATAAGTTATGTCTTTTTGTATTTGATGCTACTTTTGCTGCGTCGAATTGCCAATTTATGAGCATATGTAGCTGCGTTATTGGTGGCTAGATTTGGTGGATTTCAAGCATCCGTGGCTAAGTGGTTAGTGTATGAGACTCAAATTTGCTTGGTCGAATCCGACACGTAACCGAGTGTATGCTAATTCGAGACCTATTTCTACTTCTTATTTCTTTTGATAGAGCTGTTTTTTGGTCGTGTTCTCGCAAGTGTTTGCGAAGCGTAGCTTCGCCTCTGTAACTGAAATTTGTTCAATCAATGAGTTACAGTACACGTATACAAACTGGGGCCTAGGAAATTAGACAAGCAATCTAGACAATCACAAAAAAAACTGAATTTAGACGATAACTCTGTGATTTTGGAAGATAAAATCTGGGCCAATAAAATTTTTGACTCTACATAATTATCTAATTGATTTCATTATGATTTTCATTAAAGAAATTTTAATTAAGCTAATCAGTCTTGACAACAGAATGCATAAAAAAGAGATACTTATTTGATTGATTTTGATTACTTTTACATATGAATTTAGAAAAAATTATAGAATCATAAAGCCTGCACATGAAAAAAATTAAACAAAAAATTTTCAAGTGTGAATTTATTCTCGAATTCCGTCCTTAATTGAGCCAACTCCCCCTTCCCCCCGCGATCATATATACAACTGTTTCTTGTCCAACTTTAATTGAAGTTGATGTTATGTGTTGTTGATTGAATTGATTAGGTGATTGACAACGTGAGAGGGGAGAGGAACAAGAGACAGTGGATCATATTTGATGGAGACGTGGACCCCGAGTGGGTGGAAAACCTGAACTCCACTCTGGACGACAACAAACTACTCACCCTCCCCAACGGAGAACGACTCGCTGTTCCCCCCAATGTGAGTGGAACAGTAGTACTACATCTAAGTATTAAGAGTTAGACCAACACATGTCAGATCATGTGATATTTGAATAAAGCAACTGTATTGCGAGATAGAGGTCACGAAAAGTTTCCTTCGGCGCCAATCTAGGATCTTGTTAACTATCCCCCCCCCCCCCCTTTGGACCTTGTTAACTATTTGCTCAATCCGCTACTGAGTGTAGAATAGTGTATACAATACCCCCTAAATGGAAAAAATAAACATGAAATTTTTCAAAACAAAGTTGGATCGATATTACTAAGAAAGGCAAGGTAGTAATTAATCTACAACTTATCAAGGCTCTTTTCCAGTTTTGCACCCCCCTCAAAAAATTGCAAAATAAAACTGTTCAAAAATTGCTCACACGACATTTTGCATGAAAAAAATGCTGTACAAATTTGTTCACCTGTTCACGCTGACACATTTTAACGCTGTTTATAACATTTTAACGCTGTTTAAATAGGCTTTCATATATTGAATTTCAGAAAATATTAAAGGGGGAACTGGAAAAGAGCCCTTATCAAAGAATCAATGGCTCTTTCCTTTTTCCTCCCCCCCCCCCTCCACTGCAAAACTTTACATGTAAATTTGTTGACCACATTGGGTTGGAAAAAGAGCCGAAGTAATGATCACTTAATTTCTACGGCCTGTTTGTTAGTAGATTGGGCTCTTTTCCAGTTGCCCCCTTTCAAATTCAATTTTGAAAGGTGTATTTAACATTGTCATAATGTAATGAAATTTTGAAATTTGGCGTGGTGAACAAATCGACAATTCTGAAAAGATTTGTTCTTCATACTTTACATCGCAACATCACGCATTTAGCCGTAATAACACCTAAAACAAACATAAGCGAGCATTTTTTAAGGAGGACTGGAAAGAGCCGTAGATTGTCTTGCTTATTGGTATATAATTGCCAACATATGTATGTGTGAGCGATATATACAACACATACTCTTACTTTTCTTTTGCAAACGTTGTAACGAAAAGCAACTATTGTGGCTATAGGCTCACTATAAACTTAACCAAATTGCGTGTTTGGATAAGCATCGTTGGTGTAGTGGTAGCATAGCAGCCTTCCAAGCTGTTGACATGGGTTCGATTCCCGTACGATGCAGATTGTTTTTATTCCTTCACTAATAAATAGTAGAAAACCAATTCATAACCTATAAAACCAACCAATTCAGAGACATTTTAGCTCTTTTCCTTTTCTTCAATTGTCTAACGTATTGTATTGGCTGAACGCGTGATGTTACGAAATAAGGTCTGACGAACAAATGTGTTTCACAGATGTTAATTTGCTCATCATGCAAAATTAAACATTTCATTAGATTTTGACAACGTAAACTTAGTTTTTCAAAAAGCAACTATGATAGACAGGTCCTGAGGTCCCGCATGCATTTCGCATGTTATACATTTGAGATATACCTTTCATTGTGATTACTATAAAAATTGTGATTACTATAAATTTTATATGAAGAAATATGCTAACAACCATAATTGGATTGACTTATTTGTCATCAAAATTCGATTTTGGCATTTTTTTTGAATTTTTCCACCTTATAATGATGAGGTTTTACTGGGGGGAGGTTTTACGAAACATAGAAACTTCAAATTTGTTTGGCTCTTTTCCAGTCCCCCCCCCCCCCTTTTCAAAATACCGAGTTTTATGTTTGTTTTACGTGTTATTACGGCTAAACGCGTGATGTTACGCTGTAAAGTATGAAGAGCAAATCTGTTCACAGTTGTCGATTTGTTCACCTCGCCAAATTTCATTGCATTATGACAATGTTAAGTAGACTTTTCAAAATTGAATTTGAAAGGGGGGGGAACTGGAAAAGAGCCATTTGTTTGAAAATATACAGCGAAATCTTTCTGAATGGCGAGAGCATAATTGTTAAACATTTCAGAGCCCTGTGTCTTTTTCGCAAGGGACCTGGTTATTTTCAAGGGACCACTCTATCATAGTAGTAAAATCAAATAATGATTATTAATATCATGTTTTGGTGCGATAGAGGGGTCCCACGGAACCAGGGCCTCCGTTTATGTTATTGCAATATATTGCACTGTTGCAATAAAAAAATTTATTTTGCCCTGCTTGTAAGAAATAATTGCAATAAAAATAGGCGTGCAACGAATAATTGCAATTATTGCATTTTATTGCTGATACTTGAAATTTGTACCAAAAGTACATCATACAAATCTTAGTATAGAAATAACGGTTACATGTCAGTATTTAGACAACCTCGTATTCAGACTGGTCAGTATTTAGGCAAATGCTGTTTCAACCAATCAGAATCGAGACAAAGAAGAAATTATTAAATAATTATTATTTATTTTGGATTATTTATGTTTTTTCTCGATTCTGATTGGTTCATACAGTATTTGTCTAAATACTGACCAGTATGAATACGCGGCTGTCTAAATACTGGCTGCACTCCAGAAATAACAGTGGTTCGTTAGTGATTCGAGATGCAGTGGGGAAAGAGATGCAGTGGGGAAAGTAGGCGTCCGAGAGTGAGATTAGCCCGACTGATCGCGGTGCAACTTTTCTGCATTGCGTTTATTGCAAAGTAATCTTATCAGTAGCAAGAAATTATTTTATTTTTGCTCATTCGTAAGAAATTTTGCACTACAAATTATTTTATTGGAGAATTGAAATTGTATTGCAATAATTGCAAAAGCAATATATTTTACGGAGGCCCTTCACGGAACTAATATCGTCCCTAATTAAATACCCTCGCAAATGAGGCAGGTTAACCCAGAGTTGGAACAGGCCTGACTTTCAAAAGAGTTCACACCTTTCACACTTTGTTAACACCTTTCACACTTCAAAAACTTCTCTTTTGTGCCGGAGACAGTCACAGCTGAGCGGCGATTCAACTGCTAGGATCGGCTGCAGTGAATGGGCTCATTAAAATTTTGATTTAAAAAAAAATTACATTTGAATTTCAAGTTACTTTTTGTTAGAATATTCGTGTTTTCATTAAAAACGGGCCCGGGCTTGAAATTTTCGTTCTCCATCCGGGCCCATTTCAAACTCTGGGTTTGAAGAAAACCATTTGGAGAAAAGTCTTCACAATCGAGTGGCGTCTGTTGATTTACTTGATTGCTGTCTTTGCTTAGATTAAGCGTGACATGAGACCCCTCGGTCGCACTTGGTTCTTACAGGGACCCCCTGTATCTCATTTTTACCGCTGCTTTTTTGGATAAAAATGTATCTACCGCTCGATGCTCGGCTCTTGAAGGCTTGGTCATGAAGTCATCACATCAGGGCTGGTCAAAAATTAATTGTCATTGCAATTCACGCATTTTGAAATACCCGCACGTTTCTCAGAAAATAAATTACATTTTTAAACTCTGACTTCAAATTAGCTTGAAAGATTTTTTCAGTATTGCAGAATATTCATATTCTGATCTTCGGCAAAGTTTGTTGCCGCAAAACCTGGAAATAGATTTGGCAATCTGAACTAGTACCATCTAAACCCGGTACCACAAGTACTGGTACGTACTAGTACATGTACTGATACCACAAAGAGAGGACTTCGTTCAGGCTAAAAAAAACCTTGTTTCGAAAACCTTTTTCGAAATCGTTATTGGAGTAATTGACTTTATCAACATCATCAAGTAGAACAGAGTTATGGTAGATAAAAGTCAACTTTTCGACTCTGAAGCACGGAAGGCGTTGAATTTCCCGCGTAATCAACGAATACCCTTCTTACTCTTTTCAAGTCTTTTTTGAATTTTTCATGACTTAACTTTGTTGAAACTATTCTGAAAAACCAAACGCTTTTTCAGAACGAAATTCTTCAAAATTTTTTGAAAAAATTTACTCCAAAAGGTCAAACTGGAGCGCAATCTTCAAAAAATTCGAATAAATGCTGGAATCGAAAAATCATTTCAAAAACGAAAGCAAATAATTTGTAATTCCGCAAATAAAATAGTAATACCGCAAGTTACTCACAAAAACCTTACGAAAAAAAAGTTACTCCCTGCTAAAAAAAAACAAAAATAATAATTACCAATTTTTTCCTAGGACGTTGCTGAATTGAATACACCTCCGATTATTCAGATTCTTTTCTTCCGACTTTTATTCCATCTACGATATAACCTCGATACGATTGAACCTCCTGATTTACGAAAACTCTGAAAGAAACAGAGTTAAAGACTTTAATTTATATTCAGCGCTCAAATTTTTCAGAACACCTGCCAATCAATTGGTTCTTTTCTATATCAGTTCCCAGTTTTTTCTTAATGTTAAAGGGGGAACTGGAAAAGAGCCCTTATCAAAGAATCAATGACTCTTTCCTTTTTCCTCCCCCCCCCCCCCTCCACTGCAAAACTTTACATGTAAATTATGTAAATTTGTTGACCACATTGGGTTGGAAAAAGAGCCGAAGTAATGATCACTTAATTTCTACGGCCTGTTTGTTAGTAGATTGGGCTCTTTTCCAGTTGCCCCCTTTCAAATTCAATTTTGAAAGGTCTATTTAACATTGTCATAATGTAATGAAATTTTGAAATTTGGCGTGGTGAACAAATCGACAATTCTGAAAAGATTTGTTCTTCATACTTTACATCGCAACATCACGCATTTAGCCGTAATAACACCTAAAACAAACATAAGCGAGCATTTTTTAAGGAGGACTGGAAAAGAGCCGTAGATTGTCTTGCTTATTGGTATATAATTGCCAACATATGTATGTGTGAGCGATATATACAACACATACTCTTACTTTTCTTTTGCAAACGTTGTAACGAAAAGCAACTATTGTGGCTATAGGCTCACTATAAACTTAACCAAATTGCTTGTTTGGATAAGCATCGTTGGTGTAGTGGTAGCATAGCAGCCTTCCAAGCTGTTGACATGGGTTCGATTCCCGTACGATGCAGATTGTTTTTATTCCTTCACTAATAAATAGTAGAAAACCAATTCATAACCTATAAAACCAACCAATTCAGAGACATTTTAGCTCTTTTCC